TTTTAGAATGCGTGTAGGTGTGAACAAACAAGTGGATCTTATGCTAGTACATCCACATTTAGATTTGCGTAGAATTAAAGCTATTCTGCTGATAGGGCACATTTACTGAATTTTACTGATACTCTGCTGATACTTCTGCTGAAGAACGCTAGGGCACACAAGTGCATCGCGTTGGTGGGCATAATCTGCCCCAGGAAAAAAAAACAATTTCACCGTTTTTCCCCGCCTTAGTCCTAGTGGAACTGTATGTGCTTGGCTTTGTAAGAATCGGGTTTCTTGTGGTATCCGTAGACCGGTAATATTCGAACGCAGCAAATATACATCCTATGAGGTACAAGAATTCTTGGCTAATCACATGTATTCAGGAGGATCGGGAAAGATTGGGCCTTAGTTTGGATGGGCTTGAAAACCAACCCAAAAGGTACAAGGTAAAAACCAAAGTAACCGCTGTACATCAGGTGGCCACTGTAATACCTCATGTATGTGACCGCCTGGTATCTGATGGTTACTTGGGCATTCATTTTGCCATTTTACGCGTGGGCTGGCCCAATAAGATGCCCTTTTCCACCTGGAGAAGACTCTGGACGCTGCAGTCACATAAGCAAAGTAATCAAGTAAAATAAATGGATTGGTGCGAAGATTTTCTTAATAGGTGGTTAAGTGGGTGGACAACTCTTCCTCCTTCCCTCCTCCGCCTTCTCAATGAAGATGCATTTGAAACCCTTGTGTTAAATGTATAAAATTACCAAGTCGATCACGTAAGACTTAAAGTTAAGTAAGTACATTGGAAGTTAAAATTGTTTGGGTGGAAGTGAATGTAAATACATATTGTACTATCGCAAATGGGAAGTTTTATAGGAAATTGACAGCGAAGACGATGTAAAATATGAAGAAGAAGGGCAGGGAAGCGATGGGAAAAATGTGAGGGATCATTCTTATATTTGTTTATGGCACCCAGCCATTGGATAGAATATACACATTCATATTGCTGCAGTAACGCCTCGATTCTATGGCTCCCAATATGATGGTTCCGGAATCCTGAACTTACATTGACAAATTGTGTTGCAGATGAACCTATTTCTGCTAGCTACGCTCCACCGTTGTACCATATCAAGGGAGATGGTGAATGAATCAGCCCACTCATACCTACCTAGAAATTATCACGATCATTTGAAATAAATCCAAAGCACCAAAATATCAACAATCCGATTTGCGATTAAGCATGGTAACTTAGGTAGACAGGCAAAGTTGATGTAGAAAAAGTGATATGGAAATTGAGTACCAGATCATACGCAAAAACTCACGTGCGAGATGCAATTGAGTCGAAAACTATAGTCCTGATTTTTGATCCTGTGTTGGGCTTTATGACTGTTTTTATGGTGTATGCGAGCATCAAGAGGACGCAACACTGCTTCCAAACCAGTACGGGGATCCATGGTGAAAAAAGGCAAACGTGCATTCAAGCAACGGTAATCGGCATTCACCAGTTAAGTTTTTCTCCCACAATTTGAACCGAATTAACTGCTGCTTATCACGAGTTGAAGCAACTTATTATTTCCTCATTAATCTCCTCTGTGGTGCCAGTGGGGTAACTGAGTTTATTTTTTACTACGATTTAAAGCGGGTCGGCAGAGATAAGGGCTGTGCATGCTCGGATGCTCTTCCATCTCAATGATTTTTTATTCTTCCCGCAGCATAGAAGACTGTGCACCCGCCCCACCTCCACTGCGTTTTGGGATCTAGGACATTAAGGAAGTCAGTGGCCTACATGACTGCGTTTCTGAAAATCAATCAACTACTAGTGACGTTACTCGGGCACGTTTACAAAAGCGACTACCACATGTAGGCAGTTGTGAATGCTCTGAAAATTTCACCCTTTTGGGGACGTATTCTGTCACTCCACTGTACCACTCAACAATTCTTCGACACGAAGCCTGGCAGTGATGAACCTGTATATAACCAACCGTACCTTTCACCTTTTGACCCAGAATGCACATATCTAGGGAGGTTATGATGGCGTCGACACAGCGCTGCAAAGATCCATAATCAAGCACAACAATCAGGACCACAATAGCAACATCGTGAACTGCCTGGTTGGGAAATTAAAACCCTTTAAGCACAACGGTAGCTTCAAAAGTTCCTTCCCGTTAGAGATCCCGAATCAACATTCACACAAACAAAATGGCAACACAAACAAATGGAATTATATTTTCGACGCAAACGCCAACTTTAAAGGGATGGAAAACACGCAAAGGATTACAAAAGCGAACAGGGAAGCCAAGACTGCAGAAAGGATCTGAGGTTGTGTTAAAGGGGACGCTACAACCATCTAGAATGTAACAGGATGAAAGTAGCGACACTCAGGTCGGATGAAAAAATTTGTACACAAGGAGACCATGATGCACAAGAGTGCACGGTTGCATCAGTCCTTTGAGAACTGAAGAACTACTCCTTGCGAGTTCTTTGACGAGTGGTTAAAGGTTTGGTCTGCAACGAAAAGGTAAACGCGCCATGACTAGTCGTCCAGTGTGAGTATAACCAAATAAGAGAAGTGAACGAGTGTATAAAACGAAAATTCAAAGCAATTGTGGTTAAAGCATAAAATCCTCTTTTAATAAAAAAAACCCAAAAACGATATGACTCGGTCTTACCAACTCCTCCTCTACCTCCTGCTCTTCATCAGCATCACCACCATCTTCGTCCTCTTGCTCCTCCTCGCCTTTATCGACATCGCTTCCGCTCCTTTCAGCATCAACTTCCGTGCTAACATTTAAGTCGAATTCCTCTGGACTGCTGTCGGGTACAGGTTCGTCAGTCTTCTTGTAATCAGCATCATCTTTTGCGACAGGTGAGCGACAGCACCAGCAGAAGAAGAGGCCCAAGGAAAGGAGACCAATTGCTATGCATGCTGCCGCATGCCACGGTTTTTCAGAAATCATTTCAACAGCGGCATTAAACACACTTCTCTGCGAAGGACAAACGTAAATTCGACACACGAAATATTTTCTTTAGGCGCATAAAATAGATAAACCTAAAACGTATTTGGGATACGAAAACCTACCCCTTCACTTATGGTCCATTTATTCACCCAATTTTGGCAATGCTTCACCAGAATTTAAATTTACGAATTCACAAAGCAATTAACACAGAGAAAATCTACTCGGGCAGTCACCTGAGTTATGAAGCTGACAAAAAAAAGCAAACTAAAAACTCACTCCATCGGCCCTTGATTGTTCCTCGGCCTTTTGCTTGAGGACCCAAGTTTCCGCAGCAAATTTATCGGCACCCTTCTTCGAAGTACCGATGTAAAAATTGTCAAATGCAATTTCTGCTGTCATTGACCAGAGTTCCAAGCCAAGAGCGCGCTAAAAAAGGCTAGCGAATTGACCGACCTCACAAACCATAGAGATAGGATTTGAAGTGAAAAAAAAACTACCTACAATGGGGGCCATACGGTAGGGATGCTTATCTTCAAAATAATCGGGATTCGGGATTCTCTTGGGTTTCCAAATACCATCAAATTTGGGATTGGCAATCATGGGAGGAGACCATTTGCCCCTGTAGTTTGGATTCAACTTCTTGGGTTTTTCCCATGGCCCGCATCCAGGAGCAGACTGACAATCAGGATTATCGATCATGGGAGCTTCCCACTCTCCGTCAGTTTCCGTATTCCAATCGGATGGCCTTTCTGCTTTGGGATCAGGAATCAGTTTCGGTGTGTCTGCGAGCCAACCCTCAGGCATAGTCGCATCCTCATCGATAATAAATTGCGGAGCCGATTCATCCCAGTCATCGGGCCTCTTCGCATCAGGGTCGGGTATTCTTTCCCTTTCATCCCACGTTTCCGGTTTCTTATCATTCGGATCATTAATTTCAGCTGGTGGGTTAACGGGAGGCCTATGGAATAACAAAACATAGGGCAGGTTACAAGAACAAGTAGCACAACGAACTTACGTAAAATCGCTGAGAAGGTTCCCTGATTTTATTAGGGATTGGTCGACATACACTTCGAAAGAGTTATCGAATCGAGTAACTATTTATAGAACACTTTAAGCACAGATTATTACCACAAGTAAATAAATGCGTCTTTCCATCTGTGAAAAGAGACTCCAGTGTCGTAGTTGGTTTATCCATATGCTTTTCTTGGATTACACCTGTTTTTGGATTTTCATGGCGGAATATAAAGTGAAGCTACAAATAGTTAAAACCAAACTGTACCTTTGAGTCCATTCCACATTTGTCTGGTCCGAACATGATCGTGTAAGGTGTTTTATCGTGAAACGCGCTCTACACTGCAATCAAATAAATATATATGTTTACCAAATTAAGGTTTGGAGAGGCGGATAACAGTTTGATGTAAGCTCCACCGCAGGTAAGCTTATTCATAAACTTCACTTCGTACTGAACAACAAACTCATCCTTATCGAACGCGAAATCGCGCCCCAGATCCACCGAAATAGCATGATGTTTACCCTCTGATTTCAACACGAGGCAATAGTCGTTTTCAACAGCGCTAGTTAAAGGAACCTCAATCGACCATTTTCCTTCATATTTGGAGATTGAGGCGTCAACACCCTCCTTTGTGGCAGTAGAGAGGACCATTCTAGGAACATGAAGCGAGAATAACACTGTACTTTTCCATGTCAAGTGGAGATGTAAAATACATTGCTAACACGGCGTCGTCGGGCACATCCGGTGCTTCGAATACCACCTAAAAATAAAACGCAAAGACCAAATGGACCTTGTTTGACTTCCCATCCACCGACTTTACCGACCCTGATTCATCCATAAGCACATTAGCATCATTGTTCCCAAGACAGACCCCCACAATTGCCAAAAACACAGTGCACGCAAAACCAGAACGCCGCGGCCACAACATCATTTAAAATGTTCGGCTGTGCCAGGTGACAGACAGTGATTGGCTAATTTTAAATAATATTTAGAAGAAATCATCGCATAGTTCAAAGATATTTACTGGTCTACATACTTAAGTTTGATTTACTTAATCTAATTAGTTTAATTTGACACTCTTTATGCCCTTCATAAGCTAAATTAGAGCTGACTGAATACATTAGCAACCCCTATCTACATTATTTTGCTCAAAATAGTCTTTTCCCACCCTTGTTGATGACTTATAGACTTCACAAATATCACACTTTGCACATCACCCATACTGTTCGCTGAGAATTAAGTGACAAACAAGTTCTACAGCCCCTAGCCGGCTGACGTAACC